CTGAAATATTATCCAATGTCGTTTTCATTTCCGGGGATGACATCTGTCCTGAGACATCCATCACCTCAGGGGAAAGTAACTGCAGCTGCAAATACAGGAGAGCACAGTCTGCTTCTGGCTTCTATAATGGGCTCTTTAGAAGGCTCATTTCAAAAAGAATGGTTATGAAAGGTAAGGCTTTCTCTTGAAAGAGCCACGTTTTGAGGACCACAAAAAGGATTTTCTAAATCCCAGAAGTGTCCCTTTAATTATGAAGAGCCAGAGGCCGAGTGGACTCAGAGTGTGGAATATTTTCCTATAAGCCCTGAAGTGGCAGCTTCCTGCTCTCCAGGTGGAAGACAAAGCCCTCTTTGCTTGGAGGGAGAACCCAGAGAGGGATGAGGAGGGGAAGATGAGAAGTGAGACAATGTGAGACAATGTGAGCCTGTCCCTTTTCTGGACTCAGAGTCCCAGGGGCAGGGACAGGTAAGAGATCCCATTAGCAAGCCCAGAGCAGAGAGGTGGAGGGGGTCCCTGGGAGGCTCACTTGGTTAAGTGTCTGACTCTTGATTTTGGCTCAGGTCATGATTTCAGGGTTGTAGGATCAAGCCCCACATCCAACAGAAACACCAACAGCATGCCCAGCATGGAACCTACTTAAGATTCTCTCTCTTAAAAAAACATGAGGGGGGTGGTGCAGAGCACAGGGGCTGGTACTCTGTTTACCTCCAGGACCGGACATGGATCCCCCGACAGCCCTCCAGTAGATTATGGAGGACGTTTTTAAAGTTCTCCGGGCCCCTCTGGAGGATCTCAGAAAACAGTAGGGATTTAAAATCAGCATGACTGAGGATCCCTGGGTGGCTCAGCAGTTTAGCACCTGCCTTTGGCCCAGGGTGTGATCCTGGAGTCACACATCAGGCTCCCTGCATGGAGCCTGCTTCTTCCTCTGCCTGTGTCTCTGTCTCTCTGTCTCTGTCTCTGTCTCTCTCTCCGTCTCTCATGAATGAATAAAATCTTTTGAAAATAAATAAAATAAAATAAATAAAATAAAATAAAACAGCATGACTGCTGGGTGGTACGCCTGTAGCACAGGCCATGGCAAGGACAGGCTAAAGGGGGAGGTGGCTGGGGAAGAGATGGAGGAGGTGATTGTCAGAAGGCTACAACAGGGGCCTGATGGCCACAGATGATGGCTGATCAGGTTTGATACCACACAGTGAAAGATCAGCAAAAACCAGTTCCCTTCCCAATGCTGGGCCAATACATAGGCCCCAGAAATGTATATCACGCCAGGAGAAAAGGGCCAAAAATTAACTCTACATAGTCTCAGTGCAAACCTAGAAGGGTCTGAATTACTGTAAAGGTCAAGCCTGTTTTTTTTCCTGTCACCTGTGGAAATGGCGACTTCCTAAGGAAGTTCAATACAGAAATGACTCCTGTCCTACTCAGGTGATCCTTCCCCCACAAGAGACCTGCTCATGGCACTTCCCTGATTCTCAATGGCATCTGGCTCCATGTGACATATAGAATTAAGTCTAAACTACCCCATCCTGTCAGACTCCATCTCTGCTCTCATCTCTACATACCCTATACTAGATGAACATTAATTTCCTCCAAATGCGCTGCACTTCTTCATGTATTCCCACCTTTGGACATGCCTCCTGGGCCTATAGTACATACCCCTCCAGAGGCTAATAATATTTTGATGTAATTACTTATGGTCTCTTTCAGCTCTCAACAGTGGCTGAGAGCTATGTCTTATTTATATTTGCATCCCATTTCCCACCCCAACAATTCCTAGCTTGTTGGACACCCTCAAGGAATTCCTGGGTTCACTAATGAGAGTCAAGACCACCCAAAGATGGAATGTCTGCCTTGGGAGGTAGGAGATGGGAGCTGTACAAGTACCAGTTCCACCAGGAAATGGCAGTGATGCCAAGGAGGGGCTAGAAGACTGGATTTGTGACCATAAGGAGCCCATCCTACCTCAAGAGTCTAAAAGTCCATAAGTACCGGGAAAAGGCTGCAGTGGCGGCAGGCTGAAGGTTAGGGATGGCAGGACCAACAGGGGTGGAGTTCCAGTGGTCCCTAGGAACAGGGGGAGATGGCTCTGGTGGGGGAGGCTCAAGTATAATGGGTATATTAGACTTCTTGAAATCTCTCAATAAAGCAGATGGTAACTCACAAGACTAGAGTGTCCATACATGCCAGATAATGGTGTAATTTATGGAAGAAGGTATGTGTGGATATATCTACAGTGCCTACAGAAGAGATATATGACAGAAAGCAAAATAGAAGAAAATAAACCAAGCCATTAAAAATCTACTTTGATGCCTACCTTTGGCCAAAATACCAATTTCAGCCCATCCTTTCCTCAAACTCTTCCTTACTCCAAGATTCTCAGGTAGCAACAGACTTATGGGCGGTATATGGAATGAAGATGATGAAGGAAAGTGGATGGAGAACCTAAGTAATTTAGGCTACTATACTGCCTCCCTCTATCTTAGTCATCTCCATTTTTAGGGTCAGAAAAACCACATGATGCTATAAGAGAATAGAAGAAATTACCTTCACCCCATCTGTCCTTTTTAAATAATCCAAATGGGTAGAATCTGGGGAGACTGGGTATTTAAAAAATCCTAGCAATGACTATTTTAATTCTTAGGTGATTACTGGAAACTCTGTGACACTGACTAAAAACCTCAGCTCAGGAAAATAACAAATGTTGGGTAGTGTATAGCTGAGACTATTATTCCGTTATACATCCACCCCAAAAAGCAACTATAATTTGTGATTTATATTCTCTTCCCTTTTGTAAGATAGAGTGAGAAAAAATACAAATTCCCAGATAGAATTTTAAAGATCTTTTATTAAGATCACATTGTTTGTGAAACAAGTCAAATGGGAAACCCTTCCATCTTTTCCTGAGATTTTTTGGAGGTTATGGTGGTTTGGAATAAATTAACACATGTAGTCAGCATCTCCCATTAATAAAGGGGTGAAGGGCTCAGTGGCCGTGATACCAACGGAAAGCAAATAGATCAGATGCCAAGGTTGATATAATTATCCCCCAAACCACTCTTTAATCTAAGTAATTTGAAATTTGGAGCATAAGACAGAGTGCGTACCCAAACTATCTAGGTAAATGGCTCTACTTCCTGCGTAGTGGGAAGAGCCCTTGCAGACAGAAGATCTCCATCTCAAGCCAACTCCCGTCATACTCCTTCAAAGGCACCTGCTTGCTTCGCCAGCACTGAATGAGAGCTGCTAACGTACCAGGGCCTATGCTGGGGATGTGAGGATGGACAAGACATGGCATAGATCATGGCACCTCATTCTAGCTAGGGACAGTCTCTCTCTCTCTCTCTCTCTCTCTCTCTCTCTCTCTCTCTCTCACACACACACACACACACACACACAGATGCCATCAGAAGGGAGCTGAAAAGGAGGTCCATTTGCAAAGAATATCTGAGTAGGGAGGGTGTGGAGGGCTAATGATGCTGAATTATGCCTCAGGGAGAGAGGGTATGTAAGGGCTGGCTCCTCAATGGGCCTCAGAGGAAAGGCAGCCAAGCCCAGAGAAGAGGTAAGTGGGGGTATGTCTGGGCACCAGGATGGACTCCATGTGCTGGAATTTAGGGCCTGAACAAGGCGGTGCAGAGCCCAGGCTCACAAGGTGGAGAGGCTGCGCAGGGCCAAGGGGCAGAGACCCCACGACAAAACCCGGGAGTGGTGAGAGAGACTGCAGAGAAAGAGAAGGTCCCAGAAGTGTCCCAGGAGCACCTATGAGAGGAGAGTGGTCCACAGGGTCATTATGTGCAGAGGAGGCCAGCAAAGAGGCCACTGGCTGTGCTGGTCCGCAGGTTATCAGAGCACCAAGGGGAGGACGGGGCAAAAGTCAGAGCGCAGGCTGCTGAGGGACGGCGGGGATGGATGCCCGGCAAGGGACACCCGAAGGAGGATGTGACTGGAGTGGGGGAGCAGAGGAAGGATTTTTTTTTTGTTTGGTTTGTTCTGGTAGACTTTCAAACAATAGTAAGCTGAGAAGAAACTGCTAGATAGTGGGAACCCTGCACAAAGAGGAAGAACAAAGGCAACGGGCTCCAGGGAAGGGTTGAGGGGGGTCCGGGTAAAGACGTCAGCCTGGCCCAGAAAGCCCAGGGGGTGAGGAGTTAGGGCAGGAAGCAGAAGAGGGGGAGGCAAATGTTCTCAAGGAACATTGAGAATCCCATCAAGGCTGGCAACCACAGATCTGTTTCAATGCCCGACGGTGACTTCCCTTAAGTGCTCAGCAACAAATAGGAACAGAACTTAACAAAGGGATTGACCCCAGGGAGTGTGCGATGGAAGGAAACCCGGTAACTCCCTGGGGCAGCCTAGTGTCTGACCCTCAAAGAAATGCTTAGTGACACCTGGAACAACTTCCAAAGCTCAGGCCCCATGTCTGCCCTCTACGACAGTGCTTAACAGTTTGGGGAAGGAAAGACTTTACCTGCATTCCCAAATATTTACCTATCCTTTTTTTGCCTCTGCATGTGGTACCTGAGGATATTACTATCATGTGACAGGATGACAGATGGCAGGACTGACTTTGGAGACAAGGAGTCCAGATCGTTAATTACCCAGTTATCTGACTTCTGGAAGGAACTTCCTTGGAAGTATAAAATAATTTCATTCTGAGGACCTGAACGTGAATGAGGAAAATGAGTGCCCTTTAAATAATAGGGTCCTAGGATTTTAGTGTGATGAGCCCTAAAATTGAGCCACAAACTAGAAGGTGGTGTAGCAGTGGTACACCAAAGAGGACTTTGGTGCTCAAGTTACTTCTATAAACACCTAAATGCTGTCTATCCTATGACTGAGCCTGAGCACATTATCAACAGAAGCTTGTAAAGGCTACTTGGCAGACACATGAAGTTCCAGTGCCTTCCATGTTTATGCTACCAGACTAGGGCAGGTGTCTCTTATCCAACCTGATGGTCACCATGCAGTGGACAGGTGGGCATGGGGGGACTCACCTGCTTCCTTTATATGCTTGTAAACATCATCAGAGCCTGCAGAAGAGTAGGGAATGTCATCATGCGCCACAAAGTCAATCTGTTGGAGGGAGAGAAGAGTGATGTCACCCCGGGGATGGATGAGCATGCCTGAGATGTGCAAATGCCTTCTTAAACAAAGCAGTCACAATAAAGCAGTTGAAATAAGCAGTTTATAATGCGCATCTGAATCCTTGGCTGAAAGGTACTGCCAACCGTCTCTATTTCCAGAGATAAAAGGGAACTAGATTGGTTGGTCTCCTTCACTGGTCCCTTTCTCTTTCCTCTGACAGTGGGCTTTCTAGGCCTTCTGTCCTTCTCCCTTTAAACTTTCTCCTTCGAGACTTCATCCATCCTTCAGATTTCAATCACCCCTGCTACAATGAGGAAGCCAAATCTCCATTTCCTGTCCCATCAACGGCAACAAGCCCTCACACTTAAGCCATGATTTATGTGGTGGAAACAAATTCACACCTTTCTTCTTATTTGATTTCTCGTCTAACCACGTTTGTAGGCAGGTGGGGCCCATACAACTGTTACTGTTGGGACAGAAGGCTGCTGAATCTAGAAGCTTGTCAGATTTGCCCCAAGTCACCCTTTCCTTTGTTTGCCACCCCTTGATGTCACTTTAAAATCAACCTATTTGAGGGGCACCTGGATGGCTCAGTTGGTGAAGCATCTGCCTTCGGCTAGAGTCAGATCCCAGGGTCCTGGGACGGAGCCCTTCCCCTGCCCTTACCCCTGCTTATGCTTGCTCTCTCTCTCTCTAATAAATCAATAACATCTTTTAAAAAATAAAAACAAAATCAACCTGTTTGAAATTTAATTCCACCTGAGAACTGGTGTCCCCGCCCAGCGGCACCTCCACTTTTCCATGGTATCTAGGCTCCAAACACCTTAGAATTGGCCTTCTTGCCCTACTTCCTCCCGTTTCCACAGCACAAAGGCCGCAATGCCCACTGGGGTGTGCGCAGGCATGTGAATGCACCTGCTCTCATACGTGCCCATCATGGCCTCTCCGTGGCTGCTACACCACATCCAGGGCCCTCCCACCTAGACTACTGACACCAACTTGTACCTGACCCTCCTCACAGCTGGCTGTCTCCTTTCCAAGCCATCCTCCTGTCATGTGGGGGACAGGTCCTTCTTAAAAGATTTTCTTTGTGTCATCCTTCCTCCTGCTGATCTTCACTGGCTCCCTATTTCTTACTCCATCAAATAAAAACTTGCTGCCTGGCTTTTGAAGCCCTTTGTACCAAGGCTTCCCTCCACCTCAAGGGCGGCAGTTTACAGTAGCAGTTGGATCTGCCTGCACCACCGCTTATTAGCTCTATAACTCCTAGATTGGCGGTAAGAATGACATTAGTATTTCTGAATATTGGAACTTGTGACATTCTGAGGTGGATCGCTCTTGGTGGGGGTGTCCTGTAGTAGGCTTAGCAGCACCCCTGGCCTTTACCTGCTAGATGCCAGTAGCACCCCTCTAGCTGTGACAACCAAAAGTGTTTCAAGACACTGCCAAATGTCCCTTGAAGGCAAATTCAAGCCCATTTGAGAATCACTGGATTGAATGATATAATGATGCGAAGGTGCTAAAAATGATAACTAGTACACAGTAAGCACTCAATAAATGTTATTATTAAATTCATTTTTAATAGTTCCTCCTCCTCTCCAATATATAACAACAACAGCGACAACAAAGTCTCAGAGTAGCCATGAGATTGAATGTGATTCATGGGGGGTAGGAGGGCAAAGCCCTCAGCACAGTGCCTGGCACATGGTGAATAACAAATGGTGGCCATGGATGCCATCATTGGTATCCCCATCATGCCTGGCACAAGATGAATATACAATAAATGCTTAGTAAAAATGTGTTAGTGATTGCTGGAAGTAAATCATATTGTAGTTTCTCCTTTTGCTTTTTATTCTTGCTGGGAAATTATCTCCTCTGCTATTACCCATGCACATTTATCAGTGTTCTCTCTTCTCTTCTCCAACAGGAATTTAAAAATAGACAAGAAAACTCTTAGAACAGCTTCATCTTGGGTTTTTTTTTTTTTTTTTGGTACGGCTTATAAAAGGAAAGAATAGCTCCTAATGTGGGACTGGTAGGGAGATACAAAGCACATAATTTCATGCAGATCAAAAGAATTTCTCATGTTTTCAACTAATAAAAATCTTGTATCAGTAGGAGTCTCAGTGTCACAAAATCATAGCTTTAAAGTTCTTTCCTTAAAGGCTGACCTGTGCCTTTTGAGATACAATGCGTGTTCCTTTGTGCCAGGAAAAGATGCCTGTGAATATACAAGCATCAATAATGATGATGGTGGTGATAATGACGATGACATTTTGGAGCTCTGGCTATGGGCCAGCTAGTGTTCAAAGGGTTTTACTTACATGATCTCATTATATTCTCAAAACAGCCCCATGGGGAAAGTACCGACATCACCCAGGTTTACAGCTCAGGTAAATGAGTTCAATACCGTACTCAAGGTCCCACAGTTAGGAAAGGGGAGAGGCCACACTTGGACGTGGGTGGTCTAGCTCTAGCACCCATTGTGAGGCAATGAGAGGCTATTGGTCCCCGGGCCTGGGCAGAAGACAGGTGCTTGATCAAGTGACACCACATGACACTTCCTGAAGTTACTTCTTGTAGAAAGTGGAAGTTTCTGGGCTTTCTGCATATAGACTGCAGAACCAGACTCTAGTACTGCTATTTAGAGAACATGCAAGAATAAGTACCTTGTGTTTTTCCAGAAACTCTGGAGTGAGTGTCCATGGAGCATCTCTAATGACTTCATCCACATAGCGACAGTGTCTGAGAGCTTCATATCTCTCTGCTTCGTTCATCACGGTGAAACCTTTGAATTTGTGGGTAAGGTCATCACTGCAAACTGAAACAGACGTATGCATTAAAGGCTGCTACGTGGCTCAGGCCCTGCTTGTGGCCATCCTAGTACATAAAGGGCTTGTTCAGCAAAACAAGTGGACTCAGCCTTACTTGGTACATGATGCAATCAAACTTTTTTTTTTTTTTACAGGAACCAAGCATCAGGGAAGCAAGGCAAGCTGAAATTCAGCAGCAATTGAGAATTCCATTTTAGTGCTAATTTTGACTTCATTCTCTGCTGCAACTTTTATCAAAATTATTCTCCACACTACCTAATGGGACTTCTGTGTCTTTTATTTTCCTATGCTACCCTTCAGTAAAAATTACTATTCAGGAAAAAAATGGCCAAATGAACAGAGAGGGAAGAGAGAAAAAAAGGAAGAGGCCTGAATTTTAGAAGGTTTCAACTATCATTTCCAATTCCCTTGCTAGATCATTGTACTTAGTAACACAAGTGTGATTCCTTTGCACGCATGTGTGCACATACACACACACACACCCACACACACACACTTCTGTTCCATGGATTGAGGTCCAGTCACTACACATCAGGCCACACAATCAAGAGAAAGAAGTCATAAAATAGAAGATCTGATTTAGCAGAACTCATCTTGTAACATTTCTTATCCTTTCTAGATCTCAGGTTTCTGAATCTCCAAATGGGAGTTAGTATCATCCACTATCAACCTTAGAAAGGATTTTTTGAGGATTTACATAAAAGTGCTTTGAAATAGACTGAACGAGAAATATCATCTGTTATTCTATCCAGAATGCCTTTTTTTTTCCATTGGGAAAGGCAGCTTTCCTACGTGTCAGGAAGAAATGTCACTGTGGGTCCCATTTACCAAAATCCTGTTGAAGGTCCCGCTACAGCCAAACTACCCTGACTGCTGCTCCTTAAGAAGTTTTATGTACACACGACAAATTTACAAAATTTAAGTGTTCAATATAGATTTTAAAAACAAAAATACAATTATTTTCTCGGAACTCAAGGGTGACCCACATCCAGAACCAAATCTAGCCACGGAGTAGGTGCAGCCCACAGCCACAGGCAGTGTCCCCGCCAACCTCCCGGGGCAGCCCTCATATCTCCACCTCCAAGCCCCATGTAGACCTGCCGCCTCTGCCCTCAGAGTGAGCCCTGAAGCTCACCAGCACCCCACCTTCTCTCCCCTGTTACCGTGGCAGCCTCCCAACTAGTCTCTTTATCCAGCCTTGCCCACCCATGGCAGCCTCTTCCTGTTGGCCAGAATCATCCCCTTAAAACCTGTCTGGTGGTCATTCTGGGGTTCAGAACCCTTACCCGTCTCCCCCAGAGTAAAAGCGAAACACTTCCAGCTGCCTACAGGCAACCACGACACCCACACCTCAGCCCATTCCTGGCCCCTTGGACCGTGGCTCCTCTTGCATCCCAGGCCCTGGCCTCCATGCTGTGTCCTGTGTCCCGAAGCCACCAAGAACGCTCCTGCTCAGGTCAGGACAGGGCATTCCTGTTCCCCAAACCTGGAACACTTGTGCTCCAAAAATCCAGAGAGCTCGTTCCCTCCCCTCCCTTGAGGCTTCCCAGCTTCCTACTGAAGTTGCCATTTGCCCTCCACCCCTCCCTGGCGGTTGCCGTCCCTTATCCCTCTTGCCATGGCACTCCTCATCATGTAATTGTCTTATTTAATTTTACTGTCAATGTTCTTCTACTAAAATATATGCTCTCTGAAGACAGTGACTTGTGCTTCATTTACTGATGGCCCATAGCGGGCTCTTAACAATTATTTGTTGAATGAATTAATGGTGCCTGAAACATACAGATGTTCAGTTAATGTTGACTATGATTTAAAATAATATTTACCCGCAGGCACATTTCAACAACATATAATTAAGAGACTAGTATGTCTCTAGGTACGCATGTGTATGCCTATACATCTTCTACATATACTTTTTTTTTCAATTCCTACATATACTTTCTGAGATGTTATATAGACCTATACAAGAGCGAATAAAGAAAACATTTAGTGGTTTATGTTACCCAAACACCATCAACCATGTGGCTGGTTCAAAAAGTTTAATGAGCATCAGAGTCATCTAAGAAGCTTGCTAAATAGAAAGATGCCTGGGTATCACTCCCCAAGATTTTGATTCAGTGGGTGCTATAGTCTGAATGTGCCCCCCCAATTCATTTGTTAAAATCTTAACCCCAATGGGACACCTAATGGCTCAGTGGTTAAGTGTCTGTCTTCAGGGCAGGATCCTGGAGTCCTACTCGGGCTCCCTGCATGGAGCCTGCTTCTCCCTCTGCCTGTGTCTCTGCCTCTCTCTGTGTTTCTCATGAATAAATAAATAAAAGTCTTTTTAAAAAATCTTAACTCCCAAGGGTAACGGTATTTAGGAAGTAGGGCCTTTGGGAGGTGCTTAGGTCTTAAGGTTAGAACCCTTATTAATGGGATTAGTGCCTCATAAGAGAGCCTCCACAGAACTCCCTAGCACCCTCCACCATGTGAGAAAACAGCAAGAAGGGAACGACTATGCATCCAGAAGAGGACCCTCACCAGCAGGACACCACGTTAGTGCCTTATCTTGAAATTTCCAGCCTTCCAAACTGTGAGAAATAAACTTCTGCTGTTTTTAAGCCAGCCAGTCTGTGGTATCTTGTTGTAGCAGACCAAATGAATTAAGACAGTGAATCTGGAGTAGGGCCTAGGCAGCTCTATTTTTGACAAGCTTCAGGGAGAATTCTGATATATACAACATTCAAAAGCCCCTGAAGCATGCTATGAACATCTTGAGTGAAGAGCCCAGCCTGTTTCTGAGTCATCCATCACTCTAGCACAGTGGGTGGTGGGGGGCAGGTAGTAGGGCCATGATGACTAGGTTATGTACTGATTCTCTGACTGCATTGGCTTTTGACTCCATAAATAGGATTATTTATGGGTCAAGATATGCAATTTTAAAATTGATCTAAGACTTTTTAAATGTTCTGTTAAGACTTTATTAAGATACTACCTCAAGATTCATACTGAGCAGAAATAGATTTCAGATACATTGATTTTCTATTTTAAACAACACAAAACTAGGCTAGCCATATCCTTTCCCCTTCTGAACCTGCACCTGAGCAATTTGGTGTAACTTCTAGGTGACCGAAATAATGGCCTCCTGACAGAGCATAAAGAAAACAAACATCCTGTTTATGCCAATCTGGGGTCCTATTTTCATATCCCAGGAGTGACCTCAAGAAACAGCTGAACATGCCGACCGGTTATTGTCTAAACATTAATTACGCCCAAAGCAGCACTGTTGTTCTTGAGTCTTGGCAAATGCACTCTGACAACCAGATGGGGAACTCTGAGCGATGGTGTTCCATGGATGAGTTCACTGAGTTATCTGGGAGCTCAAACTGTAGCTAACCTATCCTGGCAGCTCACTATGTTCAAAATGAAATACTACCAGTACTCAGCAGGAGAGAAAATGGAATATAAGGGATGAACTTTGGAACCAAACAGACTTGGGTTCTAATCCCCACTCAGCTACTAAAGACTGGGGAAATTACTCAAAGTCTTTTAAGATTCAGTCATCTGTCTTTAAAACATGTTGCAAAATTTTGATAATCAAATTGATCATCTGAGGAGAGAGTAATGCTCACTAACATTTGCCATTTGTTAATAGTAGTGTAAAACTATCACTGGGGATATTCTTTGTGTTGTGGGCTGTCTTTTCCCTGCCCCCATGCTAAGCAGGTGCCCAGCCTCTTGATACAAATTCCCCCACAGAAGCCGTACACAACCTGCCTTCCTGGCTGCTATTTTCTCCAAGCCAAAACCCACTAGAAGAATTCTATAAGGAAAAAGAGAGAAAACTCCTCCAAATGAGGAAGAGGCCAAAGGTCTGAGGATCCCATTAGCAGCAGGGCCAGTGGCAGAGCCTCGAGGACTGATGACATGGAACCCTGGGCACTGGGGTTCCATGTGAGCATAGACTGCAGGTGCCTCACTTCGCACAGGCTCAGTGGTGCTGGGATCAAGACTGGAAACCCCTCTTATTTCCGTCAATGATTTGGAAATCTTGTCTGACTCTGTGGAGGTGAAGACTCAGTTTCCCATCAGTCAGGCAAAATGGAGTCCTAGCAGAATATTTAATACTAGAGAGCATAAACCCAAGTTTATGGGGTAATATTTATGCCTACTATAGAAGTTGTATTACATTTATTGTAGTTATTTTTTATTCCCCTCTGAAGAGTCGGAAGTAGGTATTTAGTGACTCATGGCCTTAAAAAAGATTTTAGGGGAAAAAATCTGATATAAATGTTAACTTATTGACTTGTTTTTAAGTGATATTAAGTTTTTATATTATTATTTTTTTAAGTTTTTATTCAAATTTCAGTTAGTTCACATGCAGCGCAATATCAGTTTTAGGTGTACAATATAGTGATTCCACTCTTTCATGTATCACCAGGTGCTCATCACAAGTGGCCTCCTTAATCCCCTTCACCTGTTTCCCCCATCCCCCCCACCATCCACCTCCCCTCTGGCAACCAGCAGTGCATTCTCTAGAGTTAAGAGTCTGTTTTTGGTTTGTCTCTTCCCCCACCTTTGCTCAATTGTTTGTTTCTTAAATTCCACATATTAGTGAGATCATATGGTATTTGTCTTTCACTGACTCATTTCATTAGCATAATACTCTCTAGCTCCATCCATGTCATTGCAAATGGCAAGATTTCATTCTTCTTCTGGCTAATATTCCATTGTGTGTATATATACACCATATCTTCTTTATCCATTCATCAGTTGATGGACACTTGGGCTGTTTCCATAATTTGGCTATTGTAGATCATGCTGCTATAAACATTGGGGTGCGTGTGTTCCTTTGAATTAGTATTTTTGGACCCTTTGAGTAAAAACCTAGTAGTGCAATTGCTGGATCATAGGATAGTTGTATTTTTAACTTTCTGAGGAAACTCCATACTGTTTTTCAGAGTGGCTGCACCAGTTTACACTCCCACCAACAGTGTAAGAGGCT